ACACACACACACACACACACACACACACACACTCTCGTCAGCATCAAACCTACTGATTTTAAAGCACAGTACGTACCTTTGTGCCACTAGGGGGTGACTCAATCAAAATAGTAACATCTGACTGGATTTTAATATTCAAGTGTTTTGTCTTTGAGTTTCTCTCTCGTCACCTGACCGATAGTTTGGAAGCGGTTAGCATCGGACGGTCACATTAATGTTAGACTCTGTGTTGTGACCGGAGGTTACCTGGTGTTTGACGTCGATGCCGTAGAGTCCGTTGAGATTCGCCTCGTGGCAGTTCTTGTACCACCATCCTCCTTGGTACGACAGGGCGCAGCGGGTGAGGAGCGGCGACGGGTCTCGGTCTTTGGTGGAGAAGACGCAGTTGTTGTGGTAACTGAGAGAGTCACCTGACACACAGAGGAGATGTGGAGGATTAATGGGATTTGGAAGTTTTCAGAAGACTTCAGCAGGTTTGAAGATCGCCATGTTGTCGGTTCAAACCCGTTGAGTCTCACCTGCGTTCCCGCTGTATCCACCCACGGTCAGTTTGTAGTTCCTCCTGGCCACCCCGAACGTGGAGTACTTAGCAAACACTGAGTCGTCTCCATCTCGCAGGTCGACACGCAGACTCATCCTGGTCATTGTTGTCAGGTTGTGGAGTTTCTCGAGGCCTGAAGGCGTCAAATACCAATTTCAGTTTTTACAAATTTACCAGGAGAGGAGCTCCCTTCACACTTTGCAGAGGAAGAGGAAAAACATGTGTCCGTGCAGCTGTTGAGTTATAATTAACGTGTTCTTCACATGATTTTGATATAAAGACTCTGTGAAGCGACTGTTCTCAAACTGTCTCAGTGTCCCAGTGAGTGTCTCTCTCACCGAGCCAAAACTCGCTGCTCAAATCTCCGAATCCTCTGATGTACTCCCTCCAGCCTTTGAAGAAGTCCACCGAGCCGTCCGTCCTCCTCTGGAAGACCTGTGGACACGGGTGGAAAACTGTGTTTAAACCTGAGGCTGACACATTTCACTGCAGGACCATTCTGCCACTGATGTCCCCGTACCGTCCAGCCTCCTCCGTCTGTCTCCATGTCGCAGTAAACCATCATCGGCACTCCCTGGTTCCCCTGAGGGAAGATCTCCACCTCGCCTGACGTCCTGACGCCGTTCAGCAGCTCCTGAGAGCAGTCGGTGGGGAAGGGGAACCTCAGGGCACCTGAAGAAGAGGATGGAGCAGGAGGGAAAAGGATCATGGGAAGTGGGTCAGGAGTTTATAAATGAATAACCACGAGAAAAACAAGAAGGAGAAATTTTGTACCGGTGGTGAACTCAGTGGAAATGGCGGAGGTGAATCGTCCTCCTGCCTCCGCCTGTAGCTGCACCGTGTATTTAGATCCAGGATAAAGTCTGGTGAGGTTGAACTCTCTCACCGAAGAATCCACCATCACCTCCTGACGAGGAAAAACAGGAGAAGAACCAGGAGTCAACTCTGGTGAATGATCTGCTGATCATTGAATAACTGTGTGAGTGGACAGGAAGTCAGCTGACGTCCAAAATGCATGAAGAAGACTCAACTCATATGAAGAATAAAGTTTAAATTAAGTTGGTCTTAAAATGCAAGTTTCCACTTGAAGGAAACTTTTACTATCAAAAGATAAATTCTGTTGAAGTGTTGATGTTCCTCAGAGAGTTCTTCATCTCACCTTCACTTCCTGACCTTCTGTCTGGTAGGTCAGCCGGTAGCCGGCAGTGGGCTTCACAGGGGGTTTCCATGACAACAGGGCGCTACGAGGCGTCACGTTGTTGGCCTGGAGATCTCGTGGCACGTCGCCTTCGCTCCCTGGAGAAATGTTTTCCATTTCACTTTTTACTTTTCATCTGGATCTGAGTCAGCTGTCAATCATAACGTCTCAGCTGTCAATCATAACGTCTCAGCTGTCAATCATAAC